GGTAGCTGATTCCACTCATCTATCACTCTACTCGTGAAGAAGTTATACCTAAGGTTAAGTCGGCTCCTGGGCTTCAACAACTTCAAATGATGCTCTCTGGTTTACTCGAGCGGTGCTCGGGTAAACAGGCTTTCGGCTTCTAGCCCAGTCAGTCCCTTCATTATCTTGGAGGTTTCAATCATGTCGCCTCTTGGGCGTCTCCTCTCCGTGCATAAAAGCCTTAAGGATTCTAACCTCTCCTTATATTACTTACCCCTCATTCCCGCGATCATTGTAGTAGCTAACCGTTACACCCTTTCGAAGTAATTTATATCCTTCTTCAAGGAAAAAGACCAAGCCTGCACGCAGTATGCCAACTGCGGCCTTGCTATGGCCATATATAGAGGTAGGAAATTCTCTGCCTTCCTTGACCAAAGAGCCGCTTTGAGCTGGAACAATTGCCCCCTCGCTTTTTGTGCGGCGGCCAGGCATTGATCACTGGACTCAAAGTCCTCGCGGACCAAAATTCCTAGATCCAGCATTCGGTTTACTCGTGCGAAGACCGTCGGTTCTGTGGTCGTAGCCACTCGAACCGGAAGCCCTACGGTATTTATAACATGACACTCGGTAGCGTTTAGCTCCAAGTCCCACTTCATTGTCCACCGGACAACCTTAGTCAGATCAGCTTCCAGTTAATAGTTCAGTTAAGTTCAGTTCAGTTTTCACAGGACGCATTTGGCTCTTACGAATCGAGCGTCTAGTTCGTTGTATTGTCGGCCGATGGTAGTAGCTTCCAACACTGTGTACAGTTGATTAGGTGTTTGTGATCCTCTCAATTTAGCCTCGTTGCCAGAACGTTGACTCCTTGGGAGTATGCTAAAAGGGAGGAAAACAAGCAAGTATATCTCCTCGCCTCATTGGTTGGAGACCTCGAGTACACATTCGTTCGTATACACAGATCACATGTGACAGGACAGTCAGTTTTAGAATAATTCTAACAGTGAAGTCCGAGTTTGCACCATTTCAAAGCTTCCGGCTAAAGTAGAATTTACTCTTAAAGCTCCCACTCTAAATACTAACTTCGGGGAACGTTGCTGACCAACATGCATCCAGGGTCGCCTTGAAGGCGTTAACATTAGTGCAGTTGACCACTTCTGTGGGTAACCTGTTCCACATAGGTATGACCCTGTTTGCGAAGAAGTTGGCCCGTACTTCTAACCTGGCATGGTTCTGCTGAAGTTTATAGCCATGACCTCTCGTGTTCTGAGCACGAGAAGTCGTAAACAAGTCATCTAGGTTCAGCCCCGATAGACCTCTTACAATCTTAAGTTTCCATCAGGTCTCCCCTCACTCTTCTACACTCCAGCGAAAAGAGACCAAAATCTCTCAACCGCTGCTTATAGCTCTTCCTCTTTTTCTCAGCCACCATTCGGGTAGCTAGACGCTGCACTCTTTCTAAGCATTATACATCCCTTCTGTAACACAGTGCCCATGCCTGCACACAATATTCCATGTGTGGGTGAGCAATCGACTTATGCAGGGGGAGAAACACCTTAGGCCGTCTGCATTTTACCGCAGCACACAACCTGAACAGCTGCCCCCTAACCTGATTTGCAGCCTTGGAGCACTGGGTCGATGGCTTAAAATCCTGGGTCATAAGAACCCATAGATCCCTCATCTACAGGACCTGCTGCATAGAAGCTCCATTTAACGAGTATACCCCCACTCTCGTTGCTAAGAACCGACACCTGTTTAGATTCAAAGGTGGGACCCACTTGACCGACCATAGATGGACTACGTCTAGGTCCCTTTGTAGGTTTAACCCTAACATTTTGACAACATCAGCAAACATAAAGCACGGATTTTGAAGATCCTGTGCCAGATCATTGATGAATATGAGAAAAAGCAAGGGGTCAAGCACTGAGCCCTGGGGAACTCCACTTGTTTCTACCTCATGGTGGTTAGCTCTAGTGTTACATTTCATTTTTACTGGTGCCAGCCCACCGAGCTCTCACTCATTTTAGCCGTTTACCATCTTTTGTGTTAGTGTGTTTGGTAAATTTCTGTGAAGTAACTAAGTTCGTTCGTTCCATTCACGCGAGACTCCGTGTTGGCCTAACGCTTTTGCTTGCATTGTACGTGAGTTCGTTTTATATCATCTGATTAACCATATTAGAGGTCTAACTCACATGTTTTACCTAACTTGAGCATTGTTGGTAGTATTATCATGCCGCATGTTCCATTTCCATGCCTGGAAGTGTCATGTAGGAGACGCATTGTATCGGGTATAGAATGTAGCATTTGCGAGCAGTGGACACATAAAACTTGCTCACAACTCCCGAACGCACTCTTTAACCTCTACAGTACTCACGACGATCTCCTGTGGATGTGCGAAAGCTGCGAAGGGATCGCTAAGATTACACTAAAAGACAGCCAGAACCCCTTCGTCTAGCGGTAGTGATATGAGATCGTTTCGCGCAAGCTCCACCACGCTCAAGTCGCCACCAGGTCATGCAAGCAGCGTCACTCAGACGACACTCCTCGCCCAAAATGCCTCATCACTGCTCTCGAAGGAACCACTCGATTATCTGTCGCCAAACACTCACATTGTGAGCCTCCAGAGAGCTGACGATCGCAAGGAACTGAAACCAGCATCACCACTAATTGAATGGAGGAACATAGCCAACCCTCGTGGCTCAAACACAGTTATCCATAACAACCGTACCATTGTGAAGGCGCAATACAATTATCATATAAAACAAATCTGGAAAATGACATTCAACGACAGGAGCAGGAAACGATGACACACCTAGCGCCAAAACCCATATCCCTGAAGATATCGCGGACAGAAA